CCGAATATTTATTTGTGAAGTCGGTCAGAAATTAATTTTGGTTTTCAAAAATAATTTCTGAGTTTTCATTAATTAAAATTTTGTTTTCAGTATTTTAATTTTTGAATGTGGAATTAATTTGTTTAAATAAATTTTTTATTTTCAAATTAATTTTTACAATTCTTTTTTCTTTTATTTTTTACAGAATTAAATTATGTGTTTATAGTTTAATTTTTTGTGTAGTATAAAATTCTAATTCTAATTTTGTTTTATAATTTAGAATTGATGGCTATAGAAACCAATGCTCAAACAAGTCTTGGTGTAGTGACTGATAACTCTATAATGAAATATTATATGAGTTAAAATATTTCATGGGTGAAAGACACTTTGGTAATTGTCGACGTAGTCACCAATACTGGATAAGACAAATAAGATGTAAATATCATTACATAGTGATATTTTGTTTCCATGTTGAAATTGGAATTAAGGGTTGCAGTAAACCAAAAAGAAATAATGCATGGCTAAAGAAATATTATTTGAAAGTGTCGTGGCCACAACCGGTATTAGCCATTTTTCCTTTGTACTGCAAAACAAAGTTATGAAGTCTAATTATATTTTTGACAAATTAGTATTGAGATCATATTCACAAAGCAATTTACATCTTGTTATTTAGTTCAAGCATGCCAATTAATATATTCTGGTTTACCTCAGAATTGTGGGGGTGTATTAATATTTTTGTGTAATTATATATCAACAACAGAAATTAAGTTTCCTTAGAATGCTTCAAATGTGGGGGTGCTTGAAGGTTTTTACCAAAGTAACGGTTCCGATAACAGGTCTACAAAGAATCTCAATTCTTTCTATAGGACAAAGTTGGAGTAGAAAAAAAAAATGATTTTATTAACTCCTAAGGAACAACTCTATGTTTTTATTTACATTTTAAAATGGGAGTAACATAGAGTAACGGTAAGTCTCGAAGTAATTAAAGACTTAACATCGTAGGACATTTGCTTTCAGTTATGAATATTGTTGAAGGATAATATAATGGATCCGTTAACTACTCAATGTTATCTAATTGAGAAGGTCAAACGAAAAATAGTGGCTGTTAAACAAAAAGTTTGACCAGAGAGCAAATGAGGAAAAGTTCATCGAGGGGAATATGATTAAAGCCTATTACATCAGAGTCATCATAATGGTAACCCTACTTAAATGACTGGAGATCTCAAGAACTAAGTTCAAAGGGACAATTAAGTTATGTGTGGCTCGCCAGAAATTACTAAAGGAGTCTATCTCCTATCCATTCCTATGATGAGAGTGATATCTGCAACATGTGTTGTATGCAGGGGACTTAGGGTAAGTTATGCTTTTAATGATCACTTATATCTAGAAAAAACCTAGAGGGGTATCTTTCAAAAGGAGTATTTAAGAGACTCGAAAAAGAATCACATATATGAGTGTGAACTGGGCGGGTTCTATGAGATTTGTGGAGGGGTACAATTCTCTAGAGCACTCATGAAAGACCAGGTTGTTCAGAGCCAAAATGAACACAATAGTGAGAACTAAACTGTGTCTGGTAATATACTGTGTGAGTTCTATTGTCTTGTCTTACACAAATGGCTAAACAGTTCAAGACATCATGTTCACTGGTTAGCTAGTAAATCCAATAGTGTCTCACGAAGGAAAGTTCAAAGCCTAAAGTTACCTATCATTTTCAGAATAATTCCAATTTTTGTACTCTCTGTAATTAGATCATGTTGCATTTTCTCTCCGTCAAATTTTATTCATGTGAGGGATTGTTGGAAAAATATGGTTTTATAGGTTTATTTGGGCTAACTTTGAGCCCAAATTTGAATGGGGCCCACACATCTTTTAAGGTGAGTCCAAAGAGGTGACGTGTTCCTTGCCACATGGCAAGTTACACGGTGAAAACAGTTCATCAAAACCATTTATGAGTGAATTTGCAGTTGACGCTGTTTTCGGGTTCGTGGAATGGACAAATAAAAAATAAAATGTGGGTTTCCTTGTAAGCTATGAAGCATGGATACTCCGAAATGGCCTCTATACGCGTATCGGATACGGATACGCGCCCGATACGGTGAGATACGTATCAGATACGGGAAAAAAGTATCCGATTTTTTTTTAAAAAAATTTTGAATTTCGGATACGTCTGGGATACGCAAGGATACGGTTGGGATACTTTCGGGATACGGCGGGGCAAAAAAATAATTTCAAAAACTTAAAATGGGGTCAAAGTATCAAATATGAAAATAAGGTAAAATAAAACAAAAAAAAAAATTAATCAACCAAACTTACCTAGGTTGAACAGCACCCAGCCGCGAAGGAGGAGTTCGTCGTCATCGTCGTCTCTCGTCTCGAACAGCAGCTCCACGGCCGTCGATCAGGTTCGTCCATCTCTCTCTCCCTTTCGCTCCCTCTCTATCTCCCTCTCGCTCGATCTCACTCTCTCCCTCTCTCCCTCTCGCTCTCACTCTCACTCTCACTCGATCTGTCTGGTCTGGGTGGAGACGAACAGATCTCGATCTATCTCCCCCCTCTCAGTCAATCTCTCTCTTTCTCTCCCTTTTATCTATATCGTCCGTCGCTCTATGTTGCAGTCACATATTTATTTTGTTTATTATTATTATTTTTGTATGTATACTCTGTAAATAAAATAAAATAAATCAAATAAGATATTAAAAAAAAAAAACTTTGTATGAACCATTCCGTATTACCTTATAAAACAAAATAAATCAAATAAGGTAAAAAACTTATTAATAAATAAACTTATTAATGAACTTTGTAAACTTATAAAATTATAAACTATGTCTGGATAAATAAATAAATAAACTTATTGATAAATAAATGAACTTTGTAAATTTTTTCCCCCTTAATTTGAATTGCATTATGGTTGTTATGGGTGATGCTATATTGTTGAAATTGTTGAAATTTAATTAATTGAATTGATGAATTTTTTGAAGTTTTATTTTTATGTATGCTACATTACTAAAAATTGTTGAAATTTTATTTTTATGTATGCTACATTACTAAAAATTGTAAAAATAATATTTTTTTATGAACGTATCCCCGCCGTATCCGTATCCGTATCCTACTTTTTCAAATTTTGCCGTATCACCGTATCCGTATCGTATCGTACCCGTATCCCATATCAGTATCCGTGCTTCCTAACTTGTAAGGCTTGTCCCACATTGGAAACTTAAGAGAACTTATGTGTGTATATAAGTTCTAGGTGGCAACACTTGGGTTGGGCCCCAAGGGACACCCTAAGTTTGTAGAAGGGAGGAGTTATAGACAAATTGAACCTTGGCTCAAACCACCACACGCGCGCCGCCGCTGTCTGTCCGGCCGTACCGGGTGTGGGTTGTGGGTCGGGTCGGTTCTAACATTAATTTTTTGGACAAAATTTATTTGAATTTTTTAAAATTCTTGCAAGAAATTATTTAAATTTCAAAATGTATTTAATTCAAATTTTTTGTCCAAAAATTGTGCATCTTTCGAGTCCGAATTCTATAACAGATTCAAACTGTTTTTACAGTTTTAAAACTGCCGTTCAAAACTGCTGCAGATCTGTTCAAATTTGAACTATATCTGTTCATTCAATTTTCATACATGTTCGGTTCAAAACTGCACCTATTCGGATAGATCTAAGTGGTCATCTTCTTGCCTATAAATAGATATCATTTCCAGCAGATTTTCACATCTAAAAAATTTCATTTGTCTTCCCAATTTTGCTCTCTCTTTGCATTATTCTTCATTCTAGTTTTTTAGAGAAATATTTAAGAGTCTAGAACATAGGTTTGGTTCGCCGTATAAATTGTTTGGAGTGCTACTACAATTTGTGAAGATCATTGTATCCTGGGAAATAGGCGCCATTTATCCGTAAATACCGTAGCAGGGCGAATCTGTCTTAAGGACAGAGTGTCACACACTCGACTTGATCTTTTAAATATTTATTTGGTTCGGTAAATAAATTCTGTGAGTAATTTATTTTATTTGTTTGATTTGATTTCAACTTATTTATTTTATACAGAAGATTATTTCAATAGTTAAATCAATCTACTTTTTTAGTGAATAATCTACAAACAATGGCCTAAAATACAAACTGATTGAATTCATGTTCGGGTTTGTGGAACTTATTACTAGTTCTGTTTCAATAATCCAAACTATCCATTTTATAGGGCCCTCAGTATATATCATTCATGGAAAAAAAAAATTAGATCAATCCAACAATAGTAATATTTCCATTTTATTACGCTTGATTATGAAAAAATAGATGACAAATGTACCATTGAAAATAGACTATTTATTTTTTTTTAGACAAATGTGATAAAATAAAAATATTACAATTATCAGATTCACCTAATTTTTTTGATGGCTGATGCACACGAAACGTCCTATAAAATAAATGTTTTGAATTATCAAAACATGACTCATAGGGAACCTTGACAAGCCAAACATGATGGTCAAGTTAAAATTTGACTAGTTGATGTGCGTGTAAGCTGAGCAGGATACCTGATCATAAAAAATAAAAATAAAAAATAAAATAATAATAATAATTTGATTATTGCAAACAAGTTGAATTTGAGAATTAGTTAATAAAATTGAATAATAAAATTTCTAGCCACCCGAATTTCGATATTTAAAAAATAAAATAAAATTAAGAAAGTCATTGATGGTCGACCTAGATTTTTTCGTTGCCCATCAAATCATCCAATAGTCATTTTAGCAATTTTTTTGAGAAAATTACGAATCAATGTAAATTTTTGAAAATTATTACAGATTTATGAAAAAATTTATAACTTTAATTATTAATGTGTATAAAGTTTAACACTTATGTATAATTTTTTTAAAAGAAAATCCACACTAAAGTGGAATTTCTCAAACTTTTTTCCCTCAAAAAAAAAAAAGGACTTGGTTTCGGCGGATGAGTTGACTGTTAAACTACTTCAACATTTGTAATCATAAGTTGTTTAGAAAAACAGAAAAGTACAAGGTAGAGACCATGGTGATTTTAAAGACTGAACTCATTGGTGGGAACCCTCAGCCATTTCATTTTGTTTTAAGAATTTGGAGTCTCCCCATTCTTCAGTTTGTCTTTGCAAATCTCAATTGATTCCCACTTTTGGAAATTCATTCAGTGATCATCATTATCATTATCATTATCATCCATTTCTTTCTCTGAAGAGTCCCACCTCACACACCATGGTTTTAGAGGTAATATAATATAACTCATCCTTGTTCATTTGGGTTTTTCTATTAAATGCAATTTGATTAATTGTCTCCAACTCATGTTGTTTCATTTGGTTTAGAATCTTAAGCGATATGTCTCTGGTTATGCTTGCCTTTAAGGACCAACTCATGATCATTTGATTAATTGTTTTTAGTTTCCAATAATTTGTGTTGGTTTTAAGATTTTGTTGCTTGATGGTTTGTGGGTATTCCTTGAATTCAATTTTAATGGGATCTATGTTAAGGAAAATTCACATTTAGAGGGAGAGTCACAGAAGTTTCAAATTTGATAAGTTTCTAAAAATGTGTTCTTTGGTGGTTCATGGTTTTTATTTGGATTCATTTTAAATGGAAACCCATTGAAAGAAGAATGAAGATGTCTTAATTTTAGATTTTTTTTTAATTGTGAGATCATAGCTTCTAAGTGTGTGTGTGAGAGAGAGAGAGAGAGAGAGCTAATTTGATAAGTTGCAAACTTCACTTTGAATCCTCGTGGGAAGTTTTTGGAAAGAATTTTGAGGGTGCTAGAATTAAACATGTTTGATAAAAAGCCTTGATGAAAAGAAAAGAAACGGGAAAAAAAAAATAAATAAATAGCTCTATTGTACATTTAATTTATTAATGCAGGCAAATCTTTAAAATATAGATGTCCAAATCTTTACCAAAACTATCCTATCCAAAGTGAAGAAACACCCAACCTCTAGGAATCTCATGGAAAGATCATAACTTAAAAGAGGACGAAAGAAAAAGAACAAGAAAGAAAATCCTCACGAGAATCGTGGAGAGCTTGCTTTTGTTCGGTGTCTATTTTGTTCAGTGTCTATTTAATCAAAAGATTGTAATGTTTGACTCTTTTATTTTTAGGGGTTGATCCGAGTTTGATGCTATGTGCTAATAATTTTTCATCAGGACCGTGAAATGCCTAATGGATGGCCACTTGGACTGGGAAACTTGAACATGAGACTTCGAGTGACAGAGAGCTTACATCCTGCTGCAACAGAACCACATCCTTTACACACACCTTCGTCCAGTTGCTCCTCATTTTCATCCTCTAACCTTGATACAGAGGTAGTAATTCTTCTTCTTCCTTACCCCATTTGTTTCTTTACATCTCTTTCATTTTCTCCTTCACATACATCATGTGTGGATCTATAGCTACTTCAAGAAAGAATGACATTCACTTGTTATTTTTTCTGCCAAGTTCAGACTAAGCTAAGTCTCCTGCTTAAATGACTATTCCAGACCCAATTTTAATTCATTGTTTGAGAGATGCTACAGAGTTAGACATGTGCGGATTAAAGGGTTCAAATTTTGCTCAATTTACACAGACCTTTTTCATTGTAATCTAAGTACACAACTCAGAACATGTTTTGAAATTTTGTCACACATTCTCTTATCCCAGATTACTCCTATACAACTGTCTAGATTTTTTATTTTAAATTTTGATTTTATTCCTGCCATAGACATTCAATTTTTTTTTATTTCAAATGACAGATTTTACTGAACAGGTGATGAATTTGGTGTGAACACCCAATTAAAGCTGTGTAATGCTCTTTTCAATTCCAAATCATCCAACAAAAACCCTTTTTTACTGTTTGAAAAACTTTTATTTTTTCTGACTGTCAGTAAAATTGTAAATTCACCCATTCATGCTGTAACTACTTCAGTTACATTTTGATGTATTTCACTCACGCGCAAAGTGTGTGCCACGACCTCTAGTCTATAAATTATTGGCAATAAACCATGGAGAAAACATTACAATGGCAGTGAAAATTTAAAATCCATTTCATCCTTGAATTTGCTTTGAAATGGGGCCCTGGCTGCAGGCTTAGACACCTTGACACTCACTAGTAATAGTTTGTTCTGTGTGAGACCGACCAGTCTACAGCATCTTTCTTCCAAGACCATAGCGTGTCACTGGGCCGGCTAATTGGAATTAGGTCAAGGGGAGGATCCGTGTACTTCCCAAATGCAAGCCGGTTTGAACAACGCGAGAGTCTATCAGAGAGAAGATCGTGCTTGGATGTCCCCGGGGAACACGGAGAAGAAATGTGTCAGGGAGTTTGTGTTCCGCTATTGGTTACCATCTTGGTGAAGATGAGCCGAAGTAGAAGCAACTCAAGGCGGTGAACTCAACAACTCGGAAAATTACATGTTTGTTCATATTTTACCAAAAGAATTGACTGTTGTATCTTGTATAAGTTCTGTTGCATGCTTGTGTTTTAAATGAATGATTCAATTGTTGTTAGTTTGTATGGATTTTTACATTAAAAAAATTGACCCAAGATGACAAGTCAAAAGGTAAGTTGTTAACCTACTTCTCTAACCCATCATCTTCAATTGTTGAATATGTTAGGAATTGTGAAACCTTAGCACCGGATCTGGCGGGTACGGAGTTGTAGAAGAAAAAAAAAAGGAGTCAGAGTACTCAAACAAGAACACCATCAAAACATTAGACTACGTCCACAATAATAGTTGTGATTGTTTCACTTACTTGTGATTGTTTCACTATATATGTAGAAGAACGAGTTACAAGATGCAATAGAGTGACCTAATACCTAGGGTTACAATTTTTTTCTTTTGTTTTTGTTTTTGTTATTTTGTTTTTTTGCTTTTTTTTTTCTCGATAAACTATCAATAAGTTCTAATAGTTTGACTTAATTCCCATAAAGTTCTATTAAAAATAAGTCCTAGTAAAATATTCACTAAAAATAATTTTTTGTGATGATTTTTTGCATGTTACTAAAAACTGACAGTTAGTGATTTTTTTTTTGTCACGATTTTTATAAATTGTCGCTACAACATACAATTAGTAATATTTTTCTATGACAATTTTCAAACTGTCACTGAACGTTAAGAATTAGTGACTTTTTTGTAATAATTTTTTAAACTGTCGGTAAAACTTATAATTAGTAATATTTTTTGTGACAAAATTTTCAGACTATTGCTGAAAATTAACAAGTAGTGATTTTTTTATTAGTGTTTGATGAAAATGTCATTAATTATTATAAGACCTATTGAACAATGAGTTTACGACCTACACATAAATCTTTTTTCTTTTTTTTTTAATTTTATTTTGGAGAGGAGGAGAGATGGAGGAAGGGGTTCCTAGGACTCAATCTCGAGTTGATCAGCATGGCTTGACCAAAGGTTAAGTGTTTCTATCACTGCGCCACTCGTATATTAGAACTTACAAATATGAGAAAAATACTAAACTAGCCTTAGGCTGTGTTGGATTATGAATTTGAATAAAAATTTAAAAAGAAAAAGGGAAATGTGAGTGAAAAATAAATAAAATATAATTACATTTTACTCACATTTTCATTTTCTCTTTTAAATTTCTATTCAAATTCATAATCCAAACACAATCTTTACTGTGAGAGACACATGACTCGATGTACTATTCTATCGAATAGAAACAACTCTATACTTCAATTTTTAATTTTCATTTTCATTTCTATTTTGTTTTATGAGGAATGAAAGCAATGTCTGAACAGAAACCAGCTGAACTAAAGTTTAGCTATAAATAAACAACTATACAGTGCACGGGTTACATAACAATAGATATAAATAAACACACCTTTTTGCCTTTGCTATTCCAACCTGTGACAAAAATAAGAACATATAAACCTCTTTTGCATCTAAACAAGGAGAATAAAGGAAGTCTAGATGACAATATAGAGTTAAAGCAAACCTCTGGTTAAGTTAGAGTTGTAAACGAACCGAATTTTTTATGAACAGTTTTAGCTCAATTAGTTTAAATTTGTTTAAGCTTGACTCATTTGTTTGTTAAATGAATGTGTTGGAGCCAAATTTTTAGTCTTGTTTACTAATCAAACCAAGCTCAAGTAGACCGAAGCTCTCTTTGAATAGATTCTTCATGAAGATAAGGATAATATAAATTACTATTTGATTGATGAAACTTATCAATAATATGATCATTATTCATATTTTGCTCATAATCTTTCTCCTTCTTCTTCTTTTCCTCTTAATATGATAATTTAAGTTCGAATTTATCAAATTTTTGTCAAACTCAAGCTAATCTCATATATATAATAGACTTGAGACTCAAGTTTCTCAAATACTAGTTGAGCTTAGGCACAATTTTTTAAACTTGACTTTAGTACAACTTATTAGCAACCTTAACCTGTTTTTTTTTTTTTTTTAATTATGTTTTGATGATTAACTATTTAACGTAAAATCCACTTTCTCTGTTTTCTTGGTGAACGAAAGGTATCATCATGATCATGGCTTCCAGGATGCCGAGAAGATTTCCGTTGATATGCTTTAATGTTGTTTTCTTTTGGAAAAACTTAAGCTATTTTGGTGCAGTTGACTTTTTCAAGGAACACAACAAATACATTTTCAGTCAATCAATGACGTTAAATGAAAAATTGAAACCTTATGTTTGTACAATAATCTAATAAATTTTGTACCTTCATAAAAAAGGTTGGCATTGTACAGTTGTTTCATGTAAGATTTTAAACTTTTTCAATGGATGAAAAAGTTTCCTATTATATGTTTCTTGAAAAATTTTGTTGACTTTAAACAATAAAATGCCAAAAATATAATATTATATTACATATTAAGCTTATTCGATTGTCTTTATAAAAGCATAAATACGCTATGAAATTAACAAAAGCTTAAAAAATTGAGAATTTCAATAGGAAAATAAGTTATAGAAAATGAAGCTTTCAAGCATTGCAATGTTATTAGTGCTAGTTTCAACCCTTTTGTTCTCAATTCCATTTGCAACTTCAGACTTGGCTACGGACACATTTGTCCAATGCCTCAAAAAACAAGTTGGTGAGTCTATAAAACCAATCTCGGAAGCCATTTACATCCCTGAAAACTCTAAATTCTCGAATATTTTCTATGCATATTTTAGAAATAAGAGACTAAATACATCCAAAACCCGATATCCGGTGGCCATCGTAGTAGCCATGCATGAATCCCATGTCCAAGCAGCTGTCATTTGTACCAAGAATCATAACTATCATCTTAGAATCCGAAGTGGAGGTCATGACTATGAAGGCCTTTCTTACGTATCAAATGAACCATTTGTTCTCCTTGACATGTACGATTTTCGATCCATCAACATTGACGTCGCAACAGAAACTGCATGGGTACAGTCAGGGGCTAGTCTCGGTGAACTATATCTCAACATTTCCCAGAAAAGTAAGACTCATGCTTTTCCAGGCGGTGTCTGCCCTTCTGTTGGAGTTGGTGGGCATTTCATCGGGGCTGGGTATGGAAACTTGATGAGAAAGCATGGCTTATCTGTGGATAACATTATTGATGCACAACTAGTTGATGTTAATGGAAAAATCCTCAATAGAAAATCCATGGGAGAAGATCATTTCTGGGCTATTAGAGGTGGTGGAGCTAGCTTTGGAGTCATTCTTTCTTGGAAAATTAAATTGGTGTCAGTTCCTGAAATTGTTACTTTTTTTCTGGTGAAAAAGCTCATAAAGCAAGGTGCAACAAGAAGTATAACAGACCTTGTCTATCGGTGGCAACAAGTTGCAGACACACTACCAGAAGACATTTTCATAAGACTTGAAATGAGTGTTGAGAAGAATGAGAGCATTCAATTTCAATTCTTTGGTCAATACCTAGGGCAATCACATACACTTCTTTCAATAATGAATCAGCAATTTCCCGAATTGGGTTTGCAACAAAAGGATTGTATCGAGTCAAGTTGGATTGAAACCACTCTTTACTGGGATAATAAACCAAAGGGAACTTCCTTGGGTAGCCTACTCTATAGGATGCCAAATCAATCATTCCCCTTTAAGGTGAAATCGGACTATGTGATAACACCTATTCCAAAAGCAGTTTTGGAAGAATTGTGGAGGAAGATGATCAAAATGGGTATGGGAATGATAATGCAGTGGAACCCATATGGAGGAAGAATGAATCAGATTTCTGAATTTGAAACTCCATTTCCCCATAGATCAGGATACAAATTTCTAATCCAGTACTGGTACTACACTCAAGATAACAGTAAGGTAGAGTTATTGCGAAAACTCTATGATTTCATGGCACCATATGTCTCAAAATCGCCACGCGAGGCTTTCCTGAACTATAGAGATCTTGACATTGGCACTAATCAAAATGGTGCGAATTCAAGCATTTTTGGGGCTAAATATTTCAAGGGCAATTTTGAAAGATTGGTGCGTGTGAAGACAAAAGTTGATCCTGATAATTTCTTCAGAAATGAGCAAAGCATTCCGCCTCTTCCAAAATAGAGGAACATCGTATAGATACTACCTAACGGTGGCAAACGAACGGGTCAAAACGGATTTGGTGTTAAAATAACTTAATTCAAACCCTTCCATTTACTAAACTGTGGGTTGGTTTAATTCGGGTACGAGTTGGACAACCCAATTCATTTACTTTAATGAACTCATTTTTTAATAGATTCATTTTTTTTCCTTCAAAAATTCAAGTTCGAGAGAGAGAGATTTAAAAGGTGAAAACATTTGTGTTTAATATTAATTACAAATATTAAATATACTAAAATATTAGTGTCAATGTCATAATATATATGTTTTTTGATAGTGCATAATATTTTAATTCCGTTCAATGCTTTTTCTATTGTTGTACTATTATTATAAATAAATAAATAAATTGCTAACAACAACCTCACTGTTAGAATTGAAAAATGTGAATAAAATATATTAAAATATGTAATAATTGAATTAAAATATATAAAAATATTTTGAGATATATAAAATATATATTGAGATAATAAATATTGATTTTACGTGATTCTTATTAATAATTCTTAGAGTTGTCAATAATAAGAGTCATAAAAAATACATATATATACAATTTGTTGATGCGTAATTAATTGTTGAATGGTTGGTGGTTGCTTGTTTAGGAAAGTCGATTGAGCTTGAAACTTGAGCATCGCATGTTTTGTTAGTATTTTTTTGCATTCATCCATATTATGAGGTGGGTTTAATACTATTACCTAATTATGACCCGTTTAGTAAATAAGGGAGTTTAAACTCCAAAATTATGGGCAGGTATAGATGGATTGACGGGGGGTACGGAGTTGTAGAAGAAAAAAAAAAGGAGTCAGAGTACTCAAACAAGAACACCATCAAAACATTAGACTACGTCCACAATAATAGTTGTGATTGTTTCACTTACTTGTGATTGTTTCACTATATATGTAGAAGAACGAGTTACAAGATGCAATAGAGTGACCTAATACCTAGGGTTACAATTTTTTTCTTTTGTTTTTGTTTTTGTTATTTTGTTTTTTTGCTTTTTTTTTTCTCGATAAACTATCAATAAGTTCTAATAGTTTGACTTAATTCCCATAAAGTTCTATTAAAAATAAGTCCTAGTAAAATA